CCTGGCACTCCGATTCAACCTGCACCCTCAACATCACAACACGGGAGTGTGGGGCAACCCGCGAGCGCGGCCAGCGATGGCGTCGTCCGCCCCGACGGAGACGACGACCACGGCACGACACACCCCAGAGCGACGCCTGCGGCCCCAAGTCAGCCTCGCGTCACGATTTCGGCACCAACCCACGATTCGGGACTGCCGTCACCGATGCCGCTGAAACCGCAGCGCCCGCCATGCTTTGACCCGAGTCAACGGGGTGGTCCTACCGTTCAGGCGTGGTTATTCACAATGAATGTTTTCTTCGACGCCAACTACGTCTCGGAGGACTCGGCGAAGATTCGATACGCCGTGTCGTTGCTGCGAGGACCCGCCATGGACTGGTGGCGCGTCATCGTCACGAAGCCGACCGACTACGCGACACTACCGACACGGGAAGGACAAACCGGACCCTGGGCGCCGTCGTATTTCGTGGAGGTGCCCCAGTATCGCACGTGGGACGCGTGGTGCGCAGGTCTGCGCGCTCGATTTGAGCCAATCGCGGCCTCGATCTCGGCGCGACAGAAGCTCCGCACTTGGCGCCAACTCGGTTCCGTCCAGGATTACACGAGCGGATTTCTGGCGCTATGCGAGCAGGTGGGCTACATGCATGAGAGCGAACGCATCGACCGCTACATCGGCGGCCTGAAGCAGGACATCGCTCAGGAAATCCAGCTTCGCGGCGTCACTGAGTTTCAGGAAATTCTCGCTATGGCGGAGAAGCTCGACTTCTTTCGCCGACCGAGACCGGGGTCCTACGGAAACAACACCTGGGGACATCGGCCTCGTGGGACGAACGAGAGCGCCACGATACGCGCCGTCGCCGCAAATGCCGCTGCCGCACCGTTCAAAGGGCGCTGCTTTGCGTGCAATCGGCCGGGACATCGCAAGAGCGAATGCCCGGAAAACGCTAAGGGAAAGGGGGAAGCTGAGCAGCAGACACAGACCAAGCAGCAGGGAAACGCTGGAAGTCAGTAGCAGACGGGCCCTCTACTGACAGGTCACGCCGCTCGCCCGACCCAACCGACCCTCACCGAGTGATTGTGCCGGTTCACGCAATCGACCACACCCGGCCGAATAAGGAGGGTACCACGGTAGATAGCCCTATACTGCTCAGTGGGAAAATTGGGACGGACTTAGTTAAAATCTTCGTAGACGGGGGAGCCAGCCACAGCCTCATTAACACTGCTACAGCACGAAAACTGCGACTGCCACTGGACCGATGCTTACCTGAGATCGACGCACGACTGGTAGACGGCACGCCGCTGGCAATACGGGAACGCGTAGACCGAGTTCGGATTCGATGCGGGGGTAACTTCACGTTTAGTCAGGGAATGCTCGCAACGACCCTCGACGGAACCGACATTTTACTCGGGCGTGATTGGCTGCGACGACACAACCCGCGAATTGACTGGACGACGGGTGACTGCACCGTGCGAGTGAACGGTAACAGCATCGCCTTACCTCGCTGGGGCTCGCCTGAGTCTTCGTCGGTGCGTGTCAACGCGATCACGATGAAACGCGCTGTTGCGGCCGGAGCCGACGTGTACGCGGTTGACATTCGGGAAGCCGAGGCAGCAGACAAGGGAGGCGATTTACAGAAACTGCTGACCGACGTACCGAGTGACCTGGCGGCACTGTTACAACAGTACAGTGACATTTTCCCGGATGACCTGCCGACGGGACTGCCACCTCAGCGACCGCACGATCACAGGATAGAACTGGAACCGGGGGCACAGCCAACAGTACAGCGACAGTTCCGACTGACCCAACCCGAATTAGACGAACTAAGGAAGCAGCTCGATTACCTGCTAGAAAAGGAATTCATTCGCCCTAGTTCGTCGCCTTTCGCCGCACCAATACTGTTCACACCGAAAAAGGACGGGGGTTTTCGCATGTGCATCGACTACAGGGCACTGAACAGGGTTACCATCAAATCCCGTTACCCCATCCCACGAGCCGACGAACTGATCGACCAACTGCGCACAGCCCGGGTTTTCTCGAAAATCGACCTCCGAGGAGGATACCACCAAATCCGCGTCAACCCACCCGACTGCCCTAAAACCGCATTCCGAACACGCTACGGATCCTTCGAATACACCGTCATGCCATTCGGACTGACCAACGCCCCCGCCACTTTCCAAATGACCATGAACGAAGCATTCCGCCCGCTTTTAGATAAGTGCGTCATCGTTTATCTGGACGACATACTGATTTACAGCCCTGACAGAGCACAGCACTTACAAGACATCGAAGCAGTTTTTAAAATCCTGAGTGAGAACCGCCTACTGACCAAAGCATCTAAGTGTGAGTTTTTACAGGACCGCCTGGAGTTTTTGGGACATGTTATTTCAGCTGCAGGAGTGGAAATAGACCCGAAGAAAATTGCGACGATTCAGGCTTGGCACGCGCCGACCAACTTGACCGAGTTGCAGAGTTTCCTGGGGTTCGTCAACTACGTGCGCCGGTTCGTCCCCGACATGGCGAAACTGACTGCCCCGTTGACTGACCTGCTGAGGAAGGGGGTTGAGTACACGTGGGGGGAGAAAGAGCAAGCTGCCTTCTCGGCCCTCAAAAATATTTTGTGCTCCCCGCCCGTCCTTCACATTGCAGATCCCCACCGTCCGTTCGAGCTCGTCACCGACGCAAGTGACATCGCTGTGGGAGCAGTACTGTTGCAGGATTTCGGGAATGGCCTCCAGCCAATCGCGTACGAGTCCCGCAAGTTACACCCGCCCGAACGTAACTACCCGATACACGACCGCGAGATGCTAGCGATCGTGCACGCGTTCAAAGTTTGGCGATGTTACCTGACTGGTGCCGACGTGACAGTACGGACAGACCACCGCTCGCTACAGTACCTTCGCGCCCAACCGAATCTCAACCCACGACAGATTCGCTGGTTGGACTATCTCGAGTCCAATTTTCACTACACCGTCACGTACAAAAAAGGAGCATCCAACATCGCCGACGCTCTCACCCGCCCCACCGCCCAACTCCACGCCATCCTACTCGCCCAGACCAACCCGCTTTTAACTGGCCTATTCACCCACGGATACCGCACCGACCCATTTTTCACGACCGGAAATTCACAGCAACTGGCAGAAGCAAAAGGAGTTTATTACGTAAAAACAGGCACCAACCGCATTTGGGTACCCGCGTACTCACTACTGAGGGAGCTGCTGCTGCAGGAGGCACACGACGGGATTACCTCCGGACATTTCGGGGTAGAAAAAACACGACAGCAACTGCAGCGGTACTATTACTGGCCGGAGCTGTTGACCGACGTACAGCAGCACGTGGGCTCGTGCCCGACGTGTCAGGTGATGAAGAGTTCAAGGAAGCGGAAGGCGGGTCAATTGCAGCCGATCCCACCGCCCGAACGCGCCTGGCAGCAAGTAACCATGGACTTCGTCACAGGGTTACCTTCGAACCCTGGGGGTAACGACGCGGTGATGGTCGTCGTGGATAGGTTGACGAAGATGGCACACTTCGCTGCGTGCAAAAAGTCGATCTCAGCCGAAGAGACCGCTCGCCTGTTCATCGCAGCCGTTGTTCGCCTGCACGGGATACCAGCAGCAATTATCAGCGACAGGGACACGAAGTTTACCAGCAACTTCTGGAAGAACCTCTGGGAGCAGTTCGGGACCAGGCTACAGTTCAGTTCGTCGTACCACCCCGAGACCGACGGCCAAACGGAGCGGACGAATCAGACGATGGAGCAGTTGATTCGTGCCACGTGCGACGACCCCACGACCTGGGAGCAGCAGCTGCCGCTGATCGAGTTCGCGTACAACAACGCCACATCAGCCACGACGCAGCAGTCCCCGTTCTACCTGAACTATGGGCAGAACCCCACAGTGCCCATGACGCCGAGTCCGGACAACCCCACGCCACGCGCACAACAATTCGCCGAAATCCTGCAAGCTGCCCGCGCCAGAGCCGCCGAAGCAATAAAAAAGGCCAACGTCATCGCTAAGCGCAACGCTGATCGCCACCGCCGCCCCGTCACGTATCAATCTGGAGATTACGTGCTACTCGACACGCAAAATCTGCGACTGCCCGACGTACCAAAATTACGACCGCGCTACTGTGGACCATTCCAAATCAGTCACATGATCACACCCGTCACCGCGCACCTACTGTTGCCAATTGACTGGTACATCAGCCCTTCGTTCCACGTCAGCCTACTTCGCCCATACATCCCGACCACGAGTCAACTGCCGCGTCACCGGCCACAATCAATGACTCGCCCTGCATCAGAGCCGATCATCGAGCCCGAGAAATTTTTGAGCCATCGGATCCGCCACCCCACGGGAATCAGGAGGATTGAATTCCTCGTTCGCTGGAAAGACCGCACGCCAACTGAAGATAGCTGGGTGCCCCTGAGCAACATCGAAAATCACCCTGCCCTGCAAGTGTACTTGAGAAGCCGGGGATTCCGGGATATACACGCACTCGCGTAGCGGAGGGGGCTTCTTAAGGGGGGGGGGTAGTGTAAGGAATTTTCTCAGGCATTCCTTACGGAGCCGACTACATCGCGTACAGCAACAGCCGACTGTTCGCCCGTTACTGCTAACGGAACTTCGCCGACTTCGCGCGCACTGTTTTGCCAAACCTCGCACTGCTGGCATGGCCGTATCGGCCTACGCTTCGGGACTAGCCCGAGCCTCGCTCCAGCGTAGCACTAGCAAGTTCGCACGCACCGCGTTACCGTTTTGCATGTTTCGCGTATAAATGTTCGCTCATGCCTTCGCTCACATTTTGTACTCGTTTGACACCTTAGTGCAATTCTCGCTACCTCGATTCATTGCACCCGTAACACTTGGTCACGATTGCCGAAGTGCTACCTGGAGAGATAAATAGTAATTCACAAAAGAAGGCACATAGCAAATAATTAAACTGTACCACTACTATCCCAACCCATTCTCTTTGGAGACAAACATGGTAAACTACCATCCCTCATCTCAAAGCGACAGCTCATCATCGTCGTCTTGTGAAGCCTTCACCTGTGCTCTTCCTAGTGATGTCATTCCTCCCACTCTCGTCTTTCTTGCCCGGCCAACACGACTCACTCCTCCAAGCCCCACACCCTGGGTTGCACCCAAGCTCGTATCACTACCCACATTCGCCCGCCTCTTACCCAAAAACGCATTCTTAGTAGCCCGAATGGTCGTCATCCCTTCTCCTGTGCCATCCTCATCACCACCCTCCCCTCCCATCCCCCCACGACCACCAACTCCCCCAGCGGCTGATTCCGATCCTTCCAATCCTGATGCGTCTAATCCAAATGCATTCGTCTTCCCTCCTGTCCCTCTCGCAGTCAGCCTACCAGCCTTTCCTGTCACACCACTCGCACCACTCAACCTCCCACTGAGTCTCCCACTCAGCCGCCCGGCCTTCCCTGCCCCTGCCCCTCCAAAAGCACCAGCAGCACCAAGCCCAGAAGCTGCAGCAGGCGAATCAGACTCATCCACATCAGAAGCATCAGAGGAATCTGAGGCATCACCACCGCTGGCTCCAGTTGCAACATCACCAAGCGCAGCAGCAGCTTCTGAATCATCCTCCTCCTCACCCATGCCACCCCTGCCAACAGCACCAGAACCACCACCAGCAGCACCAGCAGCACCCCGGACAAACCGGCCCTTGTTGAAACCTTCTGCTGTCCCCACTGCAACATCCGCATCTGCGTCTGCGTCATCACCAGCATCAGCATCAGCAGTGCCAGCAGCAGCAGCAGCAGACGATGACCCGTAGTCATCATCCTCCCCACCCTCCCCTCTGTTGCTGCTGCTGCTGCCGAACCTGTTCCTGGATAAGCCTCCCCCAGTCACGCCCTCCTCCTCAGTGCTCCTCAGGGCATCTTCCACTGCCGACTGAGCCGTGCTCTTCCCCGCCTCAAACCCCTCCACCTCCTCCCCCTCCCCTGCCCCATCCCCTGCCGCCTTTCCGGGCGCTTTACTGCTCCCACCCCCACCAAACATGCGAGAGACAAAACCAAACAGACCGCCACCACCAGAGGAAGAAGAAGAGGAGCTATCCCCTCCCTCGCCCTTCCCTGTCTTGGATCCTACCACTGCCTTTCCGGACCCCACTCCTCCATCCTCATCCTCCTCCTCCCCCAAACCCCCACCCTCTGCATCGCCCCTGCCCAGCCCTGCATGCGCACCCTGCCTCGTCCCTCCTGCACCACCACCGGACACTCCTCCATCCAGGTCATCTGAACCGTCCATACCATCCGTGCCATCCCCACCGTCTATGCCTGAAGCGTCTCCTGCCTTACCGCCCGTGCCTTCCCCTTCGTCCCCGTAGGGATCTGCTGCCGCCACACTGCCTCGCCTGCTGAAGCTGCTGCTGGCGGTGCCAAAGCTGCTGCTTCCGGCTCTGCTTCTCGCCCCAAACATCCCACTCGCTCCACTGCTGCTGCTGCTGCCGGTGCCGCTGATGCCAGTGCCGGAATCAGCTGCTACCCCTTCGTTGTAATCATCTGTGGCAGCAGCAGCAGCAGCACCAGCAACACGACCAGCGCCACCAAAGCCACCAGTGCCAGCAACACCACCAGCAGCAGCAGCAGCAGCAGCGCCAGCAGGGTAGTCATTATCCCCATCCAGACCCAGACCTTGCTGCTGCTCACCTGCTCTCCCTCCAAACATCCCCCCGCCTCCCACTCCACCTGCCTGCCCCCTCTGCTGCACCTGCGTCTGCTGCTGCTGCCAGACGCTCCCGGACCTGCCTCCCAGACGGCCAGCCATACCACTACCCACACCACCAGCCATACTACCACCAACTCCACCGGCCATCCCGCCCCTCACCCCGCTCCTCCCAGCAACACCATTGCCTACCATACCCATCCCCTCATCCGCCCCACCCATCTCATCTTCCCCACCCAGCCCCCCTGCTCCCATCCCTGTTGCACCCATTCCCCCACCAACCATTCGCCCTGACGTTGCTGCCCCTGCAGCACCCCGGAATGCCCCTCTGGTTGTTACTGCTGCCGCTGCGGTTCCTGCGCCTCCCCTTGCCACTCCCCCCAACCCTCCTCCACCGCTCTGTCCATAGTCTTCATCCGTTTCAGCCGCTCCCACCATCCCAGCACCCATGCCTGAACCGAAGCCAGAACCAGCAGCAGCAGAGGCGGTCCCCCCCATCCTACCCGCTCCCCCCACGCCCCCCATACCCCCCATGCCCCCCATTCCGCCAAACCCAGCGCTCGTGGCCCCCAGCCTGCTTCTCCCCCTAGCAGGAAGTCCCCCTGCGCCTACTCCTCCCCCTGCGCCCATAGCGCCCATCGTACTCATAGTGGAGCCTGCACGACCACCAGCAGCAGCGCCACTACCCATACCCATGTCATCCTCCCCATCTAAATCCGCCGCTTCCCCCAACCCCCCTGCTAGCCCGCCCCCCATACTTCCCCCTAAACCTCCCCTCCCCGCCCTGGCACCTCCCTGAGTTCCCCCCACGAAGCCACCAGCATTGATCCGGCCTCTTCCCCCAAACGCAGCTGCAGCTCCCCCCACACCTCCCCCCACACCTCCCCCAAACGCCCCGCCAGCAGCAGCACCGTTTCTTCCCCCTGCTGCTCCCCCTGCTGCTCCGCCATAAGCATCCTCGTCATTGTCATTCACCCCAGTCATCCCACCCGCTCCTCTCCCTCCCCCAGCTCCCGCTCCCATCCTGCCCATCCCTCCCCCACCCCCATTGCCTCCTAGTCTGTTGCTCCCCGTGTCTGCTCCCCCCCACCCCATCCCCCGCGGCTGCTGCTGCTGCGCCGCTCCCCCCGCCCATCCTCCCCTTCCGCCGCCCCTGCCTCCGCTTTGCCACGTGTCCTCCGCGTCACTGCCCGCGCTCCCCCCTCGCGCCCACTTGCTGCAGGAAGGGAGGAGGAAAACAGAAGAAAAATATGAAGTCTGCATGTCAGAGACACGGCCATTCATGTCAGAGACACGGCCATTCATGTCAGAGACACGACCATTCATGTCAGAGACACGGCCATTCATGTCAGAGACACGGCCATTCATGTCAGAGACACGGCCATTCATGTCAGAGACACGGCCATTCATGTCAGAGACACGGCCATTCATGTCAGAGACACGGCCATTCATGTCAGAGACACGGCCATTCATGTCAGAGACACGGCCATTCATGTCAGAGAACCTCCAGAAGCTCACAGGCTATTCTTGCCTAAGCATTTTCGCCATTCACTCATTCACACTCACCCATTCACTCATTCACACTCACCCATTCACTCATTCACACTCACCCATTCACTCATTCACACTCACCCATTCACTCATTCACACTCACCCATTCACTCATTCACACTCACCCATTCACTCATTCACACACACTCACCCATTCACTCATTCACACTCACCCATTCACTCATTCACACTCACCCATTCACTCATTCACACTCACCCATTCACTCATTCACACTCACCCATTCACACTCACCCATTCACTCATTCACACTCACCCATTCACTCATTCACACTCACCCATTCACCCATTCACACTCACCCATTCACTCATTCACACTCACCCACTTGTAGTCCTTCCACCGTCGCCATAATCATCCACGTCAGCACCCCTCTGTCCTGCTCTTCCGCCGTACGCCCCTCGTCCGCCCGCCTGCCGCTGCTGCCGCGCGCCCACGCCTCCGCCTCCCCCCATCTCCGCCTCCGCGTCATCGTCTCCCTGGCCAAACCCGCGTCCTCCCCGCCCCCCTCGCCCGCCCCCCAGGTCATCCCAAGCCTGGTCCAGCGGGTCACCTCCCCCCTTGTCAAACCCGCGCCCACCGCGCCCTCCGCGCTCCCCGCGGCTTCCCCCCATGCGATCCGCGCCCTGTCTGTACGACGCGGAGGTATCTGCGTCCCCGTCGTAGCCCCCCACTCCCCGGGCCCGCTTCTTCGAATATCCTGAACTACCCGAACTGCCATATCTGCTGCTGCTGCCCCTGTCATCGTCCTCGTCCTCCTCCTCTTCCTCTGCTGCCTTGCTCCGTCGGCTCTTCTTCTTCCGTCCCCATTTTCCCAGGGGACCGAACGACCTCTCGTCGTCTTCCCAGTCCGATTCGCCGCTTTTGCTGCCGCTCTTTTTACCGTATTTGCGTGATTTGCGCTTGGTGGTTTTCTTCGTCGTCTTTCCCCTCGTCTTGGTCTTTTTCCCGATCTTCTTCTTGCTCCTCTTCGCTTTCTTCCCCTTCCTCCCCTTCTTTCTGCTGCTCCTGGTATCCTCCTCGTCCACGTCATCCTCCTCCTCATCCACGTCATCCTCATCATCACCGCGACCGCCTTTCCGCGTCGAAGCGACTCCGCCTCGTCCGCTCTTACCATACCCTGTCGTCCCTTTACCATATCCCACCGCGCCTTTCGCATAACCAGAAGCAATGCTTTTAGAATACCCTTCGAGCTCCATACCCCTCCCGGTCTCGCGGTCTCCAGGCCTCGTTCTGCCTTTCTCTTTCGGATACAACGCCCCCCCATCGTCATCATCGTCTCCCATACCCAGATCGCCCATCGCGCCGCCGCCAAACCTTCCCGCGGTTTTCGCGCTGCTCGAGAACGTGTCCACGTCATCATCCATCGTATCCGCGCCGCCGCCACCCCACGAGTTCCCGCTGCTTCCCCTGCCTGCGACCCCCTTCTTCCAGCTCGACGAAGCGCCAAGTCCGCCCCCAAACCCGCCGCCGATTGCGGAGCTACTCTTGCTCGGCCAGCTAGAGCCGGTGGTGGTTCCTAAGTCATCCTCATCCTCCGACATTTCGTCCCACGACGTTTTCTTTCCAACGTTTTCCGTCAAGCCGGTAGACCCGAACGATCCTGAAACCCCCGTTCCGGTGGCCGTCAGTTTTGACGACTTGCTGCCGGTCGGCCACGTGGAACCTGCCGCGTTGGTTGTTGTGCCGTAACCGTCATCGTCGCCAGTTCCGTAATCGCCGTCTAACGAGCCTAGCGACGCGCTGGAGCGCGGCGCGGGGGCCTCGACGCGGAAATTACGGAAGCCAATGAAAAGGAGAGCGGCGACGAAGATCGCGGAGAGCAGGAGGATCGTCGAGGTGGTGGAAAGGCGGAGGAACGAAGGGCGGCGAGAGGGGGAGCTCGGGGAAACTGGCTCTTCGCCGGGGTTGTCCCACTGGAACCCGTCAGCTTTCGCGTTGCGTCGCCCGCGAGCGGCGCTGGCCGGAGCAGTGGACGCCATTAGTTGGGAATCACGTTATCATGTCAGGAAACCAAGCAATGCAGGCATACGATCGAAAGCAGCTGGGTTTCTTCAAGCAGTTTAGCAATTGGCGGCTGCTTTTCCACGTGGAACTGGTCTGGCGAGGCGACCAGTCGAAGCGCTCTGACCAGACGAGAGGAACAACACGAGTAGACGCGAGAAATGTAGTCACTAGGATGCCTGAACTGAAGTGAAGAAGAGTCGGAAAATCGGTGAAATCAAGGAGCTGATGAGTGGAGCGGTGGGTGGGTGGGAGCGAGAGGATGATGATGATTCCGAGGGTGGCGGGCGAGCGGATTTGCAGCCAGCGGCGCAGATGAGGCGCAGGCGGCAAGAAATGATGCGGCAATTGGAAATCAGGCGGAAAGGAAATCCCAAGGTGGTCGGGTTTGTGGCGCGCGCTGGTTGGTAGGTGGGCGAGGTAGGTCCGCGCGTGTGTGATGGGACTGGCTCCCTGGTTGGTGGAGCGCAAATGGCCGGCGAGCGGGTCTGCTCCGGTGGGAAAGGTTGCGAAACTTGGGAGTTATTCAACCCCATTCCCCCACACCCCACCCCATCCCACACTTCGCGACACCTGATGATTCCCCCAGGTGCTGGCCACGGAAGGTGGCCAATGAGAGCACGCAAAGGTGGTATTCCTTGTATAAGCTGATCCGTGATCACATAGATACTTTTTTATTGAAGTTGAATTTCTTAGATTACAAATGACAGTTACGGTCTTGCAGATTGAGAACTCCCTGTTTATTTTCCGCCTTTGCGTCGGCTTACTTTTTGTCAATCTACTCCATTCTCTTGCTTACGCCGCCGCGCATTACTTCTGTTCGTAGGTCCGTCAGTATCAGATCCTCGCCTAGTCCGCGTCGCGAAGCCGTTCAGAGCCGCCGCAGCCATGGGGAGGGTTCCCGTGCGTCTCAAGGAGGTGACGTACGCGCTGTCGCCGTTCGAGCAGAAGATCATGCCGGGGCTGTGGAAGGACATGGGCAAGGAGTGGGTCAAGAAGATCAAGAACAACTGGCTCGACGCCGCCACCTGCGTTGGACCCATCGCAGGGACCTACTGGTACGCGATATTAGATCGCACTTTAGTTGAATAGAAGCCACCGCCAGAACAACTTTCGAGTGCGAGTTCGTCGATGCGATCGCCACCACCTTCGGTTCCTTTCCTACCAGCGGCCGTGCTTCTACTTATGCTCTTCGCGATCAGAAGTTGCGTCGCTTGTTCCTTCCGCTTATTCCTTTCCGATGTCGCTCTCTCCTCCGTTCCACGATTCGAGCCCTTTCGGGGTCCTTGTCGTTTCTCTAGATCCCCAACGCCTTTCGCTTCCGTCCTCCCGGCTCTATGAATCCTTGACCCCGCTTCCATCTTTCTCTTGCTCGTGTGTTCGTTTGACCCAACCCCCACTTTCGCAATCCTTACGTTGCAATGCCAACGCGCCCTTGAACGCCCAGGTCTTCCTTTTTATCTACCTCCAACCCTCGTCTGCTCTAACACCTGTCCATAGTATCTCACATCTAGTTCATTGTATATCATTCTCACCCCTAATGTACGTAACGCACCCCCATTCCATACTACCTCACTCGTCACTCGCTGCTGCGTGAATGCAGGTACGTGCAGTGGTACAACGAGCAGGAGAAGCAGCACCACCGGTGTTGACATGCCTGACGTGCAGCGCAGCAACAAACAGCTCATTGATCGTGGTGAGTCTCAGGTCTGCCTTACCACACGGGTTGAAATATGAAGTTATATATTAAACAATTGCTGCACTTAATGTCTTGGTGAATCGTCCATTTGCACTGCTGGTGATTGGTTCTTACTGTATGAGCGAGCCACTCACCTCACACTTGCTCTGGCTTGTTTACGCTTGCAGGCACAGCAAGGCTTGTGGAGGTTGATCCAATTTGTACAAGTCTTTTACGGTAGTTACAGACAGTCAGATGGGGGTCACACGATGGCATCACTTTTTCAAATTGTTCTATCAATCCACCTCATTATAAGAAAGACTTATGCAACACAGCTGTACAGACAGTATTGAGGCTAGCACATGAGTCTCAGATTGTGTTCAGGATCCAGATGAATTGGTGGCGGATACAAAATAAAACTGTTGCAGAACGAAATACATATGACGTGTTATATACGGTATCAGTAGCAGCAGCAGCGGATGCACCCCTGGGCACTTGCATTCCAGCATTGGTTGGTTTCCACATCAGATTCTGTACTGTACGGTACACTGCATGTACAGTACCAGTGGCAGCATTAGTGGCGGCATTTGCTGCGAACAACAGTGGGAACGAGGTCCACCACCACCTGCCAGGACCAGTGGAAGGGGGAATCAGGTGGTTGGAATGGAACCTTGCAAACAATGGCTGGCACAGCCTACGGTATTTGTTGGACAGGAAGCTTTAAGAATAAATCCTAGAAGCAGGACTATATTTTATAAGCAGTGCTACGGTAGGTTCTGAAAGAAAACGGGATTGTGGTTGGTGGGTGGGCAGGACTCACGCGGCCATCATAGGAGAGGGAGGCGAACACCCACGGGTCGATGGCGCTCCATGTGACGCCTGGTGGGGGAGGGAGGAGGATGGGGGGGGGAGGAGGGGAGGGAATATATTAGGTTGATTTTCTAAATGTCTCAACAGAGAGGCGAACATAGAGGGGTCAATGGCGCTCCACATGACGCCTAGAAAGCGGGTAAGAGGCAATGGGCGCAACAACAGGGATTCTAGAAAAAGCTGAGTTGTTAATATGACTAAATAGAATGAGAGAAGGAAAGAAGAAGTAGAAGGAAACATGTTTTGTGGAAACCGTCTGCACCAACAGACAGAATTCCTGGTACCTCAGAGAACCATGCAGCACCCACCATAGAAGCTGTCCTCGTAGTCTGTGAAACTGACTGCCGACTCATCCACGCCCCCCCTGGGATACCCTGCTTGTGACAGACAGACTACCTGGTACCTCACAGAACCACACAGCACCCACCATAAATGCTGTCTTCATACTCTGAAACTGACTGCCAATTCGTCCACGCCCCCCCTGGGATACCCTGCTTGTGACAGACAGACTACCTGGTACCTCACAGAACCACACAGCACCCACCATAAACGCTGACTTCATACTCTGAACCTGACTGCTGATTCGTCGACGCCCCGCCTTGGACGAGGTATTGGCTTTTGAGTCAACTCAGAATTCATCTATATTTCGAACAACTTAAAGAACACCTTGCAGCACCCACCATATACGCTGTCTTCACAGTCTGTGAAGCTGACTGCCAGCTCGTCCACTCCCCCTCTGGAATACCCCCCTGCTGCTACTTATTGTGACAGACGTACCTTACAGAACCGCACTGCACCCACCATAAACGCTGTCTTCACAGTCTGTGAAGCTGACTGCCAGCTCGTCCACTCCCCCTCTGGAATACCCCCCTGCTGCTACTTATTGTGACAGACGTACCTTACAGAACCGCACTGCACCCACCATAAACGCTGTCTTCACAGTCTGTGAAGCTGACTGCCAGCTCGTCCACTCCCCCTCTGGAATACCCCCCTGCTGCTACTTATTGTGACAGACGTACCTTACAGAACCGCACTGCACCCACCATAAACGCTGTCTTCACAGTCTGTGAAGCTGACTGCCAGCTCGTCCACTCCCCCTCTGGAATACCCCCCTGCTGCTACTTATTGTGACAGACGTACCTTACAGAACCGCACTGCACCCACCATATACGCTGTCTTCATAATCTGTGAAGCTGACTGCCAGCTCGTCCACGCCCCCTCTGGGATACCCCGCTGCTGCTGCCGCTGCTCTTCCCGAGCCTGCCGGGTTAGGTCCGGCACGCAGGTGGTCAGCCACAGCTGCTGCCGAGGCAGACGGCACGTGCCACAAGTTGACTGCTGAGTCGGTGCCGCTGCTCTGTGGGGGTTGGACGTGAAGAGGAGAGAGGAGGAGAGGAGAGAGGAGGAAGAGGGTGGGAGTGCGAGTGGAGCAAAGAGAAGAGAATAACAGGAGCAATTGGAGAATAGGAGGAGCAGGAAAGGGCACTGACCAGCAGGATCAAGAGAGGAAACTAAGAGGATCAAGCGGAGAATCAGAGGAGCAAGAAGAGGGCGGCACTGACCAGCAGAAGCTCATCGTAGAATCGGTTGTAGCGGACGCTGCACGTCCTGTGCAGGGAAGGGAACACAGCAGGCGCGTGGGTATGTGGTGGAAACAATACAGACAGTAAGTGAGGACGCATGGGTGTGTTGTGTTAAGGCGAATGACCAGCAGAAGTTCATCATAGAATCGGTTGTAGCGGACGCTGCACGTCCTGTGAAGAGATCAGGGCAGGCGGGCGGAGGGGCAGGTGGGAGGGCGAGCGGGCAGGTGGGTGGGCGGGCCGGCAGGTGTGGGTGGGAACGATTCAGCCAGAATGATTCGAGGAAGCACAGGGGTGTGCAGGGCAGGCAATGAAAAATGCACAAGGAAACCGTGAAGCGACATCGGCCTGCATCTGACACAGGTCAACACAAGTCAACATTCAACAGAGATCATCAATGGGAGTGTCCCATATCAGGGCGCATGGCAAGTACCAGTGGGAGTGGCACGTACCAGTGGGAGTGGCACGTACCAGTAGGAGTGGCACGTACCAGTGGGAGTGGCACGTACCAGTGGGAGTGGCACGTACCAGTGGGAGTGGCACGTACCAGTGGGAGTGGCACGTACCAGTGGGAGTGGCACGTACCAGTGGGAGTGGCACGTACCAGTGGGAGTGGCACGTACCAGTGGGAGTGGCACGTACCAGTGGGAGTGGCACGTACCAGTGGGAGTGGCACGTACTAGTGGGAGTGGCACGTACCAGTGGGAGTGGCACGTGCCAGTGGGAGTGGCACGTGCCAGTGGGAGTGAACTAGTGACCGTGTGAGTGACTCCTACCACTGGGAGCTCCACAATGGCCTGCTTGGTGGAGTGCGGGTCCCGCAGGCGAATCATTCAGTGGCAATTACGCTGAACGCTGTTCCAAAAGCGTACCAGTGCGAGTAGCTGTGTGAGTGACTCCTACCAGTGGGAGTGGCCTGGAAGCTCCACAATGGCTTGCTTGGTGGAGCGCAGGTCCCACAGGCGAATGCGCGAGTCGTCCCCCGCAGATGCGAGGATGTGCGGGTGGTTGGGGTTGAAGTCTATGTCTCTTATCTGCAGGTGGTGCGCTCCCTCTATGCTCGCCGTCTTGCTGCAGAGGAGATGAAGGATGCGGAGGGAGAGGGAAGGAACGAGAGATACAGATATGGATGAAGCGACTTCTGAGGTGCCGAGATGCCAATGCCACACATATGCGGGTGGTTGGGATTGAAGTCTATGTCTCGGATCTGCAGGTGGTGCGCTCCCTCTATGCTCGCCGTCTTGCTGCAAGGAGGAGTGGTGGAGATAGGGGTGGGGAAAACGAGCACATGTTGCTGACGTGGCAGCTCTCAGGTCCCAACAGGAAATGGAGGTGTCAGCGGTGGTGGCAATGGTGTCAGCAGTGGTGGCAATGGTGTCAGCAGTGGTGGCAATGGTGTCAGCAGTGGTGGCAATGGTGTCAGCAGTGGTGGCAATGGTGTCAGCAGTGGTGGCAATGGTGTCAGCAGTGGTGGGTGGGAGTGGTTTAGAGGCGTCTTGGTAAACGGAAGCACATCACTCACATGGCGGCTCTGAGATCCCAGCAGGCAATGGAGGTATCCGCAGTGGTGGCAATGGTGTCTGCGTTGTGTGGGTCCCATGCCCCTGTATGCAGCCTCTGCAGCCCGCTGCCTGTCACCCGCTGCTTCGCCTGTTGATTGATGCACAAACGGATGGGGGGTCAGACATTCTATGGGACAAGCATCAATGGATTGGTGCACTCTTAAAGATGAAATTCGGGCTACGAAGCAACGTGTCACAAATTTGAGAGACCGGGTCAGTCAAAAACAGCCTACCGAGGCGAACTGCGCTGCTCGAGTGCTGGAGGCGAGATCCCATGCACAGATGATCTCCTCATCAATGGTGATGACTCTGTGCAACGCCACGTCACCGCCGTACCACAGCACTCTGTGGGGAACATATAGTGAACAGACGGGGAACAGAAGCGAACAGGAAGGGGAGTAGAGCATGAGTTTCGAGGCAGGCATTTTCGTCAATTGTGATCAGTCTGTGCAGCTACAAGGTGACTTTTGAGTCGACTCAAGGTGACTTTTGACTTTTGAGTCGACTCAAAAGTCACCTCATTTTCGTCAACTGTGATCAGTCTGTGCAGCTACACGTTACCCCCATACCACAGCACTCGGACAAGGCCTTTTCCCTAATTGCAAAACTCAGAGCACCAGTGCCAGTTGCACAATTCTCAGAAAGGAGAATGGAAAGAAAGTGTGAAACACGAGAGTACTTGCTTTTTCACGGAAGCTTCCAGTCCCTTGAGCTCCGCGGCCAGTTGCAAGGACGGAGCGCCACGTGTAGAGAGTGTGTTTTTAAGGTGTTTTTGAGACGCCTCAAAAACACAGAAGAACTTACTTTTTCACGGGAGCTTCCAGTCCCTTGAGCTCCGCGGCCAGTTGCAACGAGGGAGCGCCAGTCCCGTACGAAAAGGCCTTGTCCGGTATCCGCCAGATGGCGGCGTGGTATTCGCCGGCAGAGGCGTAGACAGTGGAAAGCAGCGCTGAGTCGAATGGACACGTGGCAAGATCCCAGATCTCGTGCTGATGCAGATACAGCCCCTCACACGTCACCTCTGAACCGTCGTCTGCCAGCTGGATCAAATGTACCTGATAAAGGGAGGTGCAGCAGCAGCAGTATTTGGCGATGGGACAATACGGTACAAGGTGACTCTTGAGTCGACTCAAAAGTCACCTCGCTACAATGTCCCCGATCTCGTGCTGGTGCAGGTACAGCTCGCACGGCACCTCTGAACCTTCGTCCGGCAGCTGGATGAGATGCACCTGGTGAAGTGGAGTGAAGCAGCAGGAACAGTATGATATTTGCAACAGCTGTGCGACAGACGTGATTCGCACGCAATCGCCATCATGTCGTCTCAAGGCCTTAGAGGCGCCTCAGAACTCGCCTCTCTACCTGCAGTTCTTGAGGCGGCTCAAGTTCACCATCTCGTTCTATCTCATTCTCACTTCCCAACCAGGTTCCATCCCATTCCACCGTATTCCATTCCACACCATCCCATCCGACTCCAATTCAACCTATTACATCATTCTCATTCCCTGTACATCCTTTTCGGTTATCTCCTAGGCAGTCGCACCTATCCCATCCCAGAACACCGCCAGGTCACCTGCACAGCACGGTCAAGTCATCCACACAACACGGTCACGACACCCACACAGCACGGTCAAGTCATCCACACAGCACCGTCACGACACCCACACAGCACCTCATTCTCCTCGCGCAGGCTCAGCGTGCCGACGAGGAACCGCGTGTGGTGCTTCTCGCCGGCTTGCGCCGCGATGCATCTCGCCTGAAACTTAACGCCGTACGTCCGACTCGTCCCCCCGCCGAACATTGACACGACTGATGTGCCAATTCCCTGGCTGTCTGTTATTCTTCACCGGGAAAGCTGATCAGCGGTAACGGTGCAGTTCGGTTCAGAGATCGAGCGGCGAGAGGAGTGAATGCAGAACGTACGAGGCGCGGTCAGGGAGAAACACCACAGCACGCGATCGATCCCTGACAGCTGCTTCCTAGACGTTGAAGGAATTTCAATTGCTGGCATGATTGTTTTGGAGTTGGAAAAGGCATATTTGCATCGCATGCGGTTAACTCGGGTTCCTCACGGTGCTTGCGAGTTACCGCTCTTGGGAGCGACAGACCGAAGACAACCGTGACGTGTGTGGGATGAAAGCTTGTAAACCAGAAATTGGAACCGCAATTGCAGAAATTCGACGTCCCCAAACAAGTTTTTACTCATGACTGTTTCTAAGCTGAAAGTGTACAATACTCAAATGGCTGGTCTCTAAATAATTAATGTCAGCTTCTAACGAGCCATGGTTTGTTCCCCTTTCCTCCCCGCCAGCTGCAAGCCGAAGTGGTGGTATATTACAGCTGCTCTCGTCCCTCAATTCCAAGTCTCTCCTCGGTGCTGCATTCTACCAGTTTCAAAGCCCCGAACCTTCTCTTGTCAAACAACGACCTTCTCCCGCGACGTCTGCATTTCCATTTCGCCTCTCGTTCCCATGTTTGCGCTTGTATGCGTTCCGATGCTAAGTTACATATACCTTGCTAGCCAAGGGTTTTCGTTTTCTGACTAAGCACTTTCTTTGTTTCCTGTTGTATGTTGTATCTGACACAACGCCGACTGAAGTGTTTGCATAACTCTTCACCGTGGTAAGCTACTCAACCCTCGTCAACACGATTTGCTCGTGACAAAATGGCGCTCACGGTGATGAAATCACACGTATATGAGGCCTTTCGAGGCCGATGCGTACCTTTTTTAAACCCTTTAAGAAGTCCTGAGTGAGCCTCGATAGAATAGATGCATCTTCTAAAGCGTTTTGGGCATTCCTGCCACGGGAGTATGGCTTTTATGGTCTGTTTCTCCTGTCCAAGGATTGCCAACAGTGAGCTTTTCAGTCAACTGATAGGAAGCTCTCAATGCATTTTCCGTTGCTTGAGAGTGCCATTTTTTGGCGATTACATGTGTGAATCTTGAGACTCTTGCCTGCTCTTTCCGGCCTCATTTTGGGTTGCTCAGTCAACACTGATGAGGTTGCCATGGGACGTGTTGCGTGAGAATTCATTTTCTCTGCTCTGTTGCTGGCTTTGGCTGCAGGTTGGTGCTGCTGGGGATTCGTGTGCCTCGATGACCCTCTTGGAACTGCTTCTGATGGAAGGCACTAGCATAATGTTTTCGTGCAGTTGTTTACTGTGAATAGCCGTTACTACTGAGTTTCTGCACATGATTCCGCACCTTGGAGCTTCTGGTGACTAGTTATACGAGTGAAGTGTTTTTAGGCATTAGTGAAGAACATGCTGATAGTGGACTTGTTGAATGGTGGACGGTTAATGAGACGTAACTATAAACTGTCATACACAAGATTATTATCATGCTTTCAATAAACTGTTACAGAGCGCCACAATAAAAGTGTCTCACACAAGTATAGTTGGCACACCACTGTTACATCTAACGAGATTTTGACACCAAGTGGCGCGCATCTGCACGGAACAGCACGCTGACAGAGCCTTGCGAACATCTCCCTTCGTTAATGTCACTCGCTTTCCGTGCTCTGTGAGGAAGCAGATAATTTATTCGAGCCAAAATCAGAAGGGACTACAGAGAATGTTTCTTCGGTTCCTCCAGAAAGGATCACTGTCCAACAGTGAATCTGCTCCCTCTCCTCACATACTTCGGCTTGCACGCGTGCTCGTGTCGACGACTCGACGGTCATTGATTGCTCATATTATTACTGTTTGGCTGGTGGCTATCAGTAGCAGCTGCTCCTTACGTTGGCCGTCTAATCGAAAGCGAATTCGTTGAATCTCGTTGCACGTTTCGTGGGCTGCTCCTTCGACCAGTGCCGATGCCCGATCTCTAAATGCTGATCGCGTGCGTCCTAGCCTGACGGGTATTTCTGTCGTGAGTTTGCTTGACAGATCAGAGTGCCTGTAGCCGTATTAACGTCTCTGGAAAAAGGTTACAAAAGTGCCGTTGCGGCTGTCGAGGGAACGGCTCGAATTCACTCTTCTTAGTTGCTGAGCCTCGTGCCTATAGTACCACGCTAATGTACGCGAATACTTTCGCAAGTCTCTGAGCAAAAGCTTAGGTGGTTTTTTTCAAGCCGGTAAGTAGTTTCTCCAAGCCGGTCCGCCTATGTTGGATGTGATTCAAACGAGAGCGTAGTAGTAGCTCCTTAGGCTGGAGCCACGTGCGGGCCTCGAGCAGGCTGCGGCTCGAAGCTAACATGCGATGCGGGGGACCTCAAGACCAACCCCGGCATTTCCGCTGCGGGCAGAAAGATCGCACGAAGCTTCCTACCCGCCGTCGTTACAATCAGGTTTTACTAACTCAGTCAGGATGGACTCCATCCGTGCTAGCAGTTGTTCTCTTAGCGAGCGTTCTTGTAGCGAATCGTGCAGTGAAGGGTCAAGAGGAGGAGGGGATGATACCAGGGGAGGAGCGGTACCAGTGCAGCAAGGAGAGCGAGTGGGTCGGATTCGTCGCCGATCTCAGCATGCTGCAACATCAGCTTCGCGGAACGGTCGAGATTCTAGACGATTGTTCGTTCAAGGTGAGTGATTTGGTTGCGTGGTGCTTCAACAGGACAGGCGTTGTTGCCATCTCAGCATGCTGCAGCATCTGCTCCCCTCAACGGTCGATATTCGAGACGATTGCTCGTTTAAGGAAAGTAGGTCTGTGGACTGTCGTTGTCGCTGGAGTGTAACGGCTTGGTGGCGTGGATTCGAGGCTTGGTAACACGTGTCACGGTTCTGGTCCTGCACAGCCGTAGATTCGTGCATCAGTGACGCGTGAACATTGCTGAATTGCGAATTGTAGCCGCCTCTCTGATTCGTCTGAAATCAGGACCGTTTGGTCGCTGCTCTGTGCTGATTCCGTTAACTCGTTGTGCGCTTTCATATCATCTCCCTCCATTGCTGCCTGATGCTTCGACGAATCTTCTTGGCAGGTGACGCGGTTTGACATGCTGCCGGGGAAGGACGTGTACTGGTGGGGAGCAGCGTCCGCGTCCCTCACCGACCTGCTGCACGGCTTCCCCGTCTCGCCCAAGCCCCTCCTCGGCACCTTCAACAGCCAGACAGTCGTGGTTAGTAGCGCTGCCCCTCAGCAATGCCCCTTACCAGTACCCACTAGCAGTACTTCTTGCCAATATCCTCTAGCAGCGTCCGCGTCCCTTAACGACCTGCTGCACGGCTTCCCCGTCTCGCCCAAGCCCCTCCTCGGCACCTTCAACAGCCAAACAGTCGTGGTTAGTGGGCAGTGCCGCTTAACAATCATGCCATCATGTGGTCATGCCATCATGTGGTCATGCCATCATGCATCATGTCTTCATGCCGTCATCCTGCTACCCCCCTGACACCGCCTTGTCCTCCTCCATCTCTCTTCCTTGGATCCCTAACCAGGTGCGCCTGGCATCAAACGTGACGTGGAGCGACTTCAAGCTCCTCTCAGTGTGGTCGCGAACCACTGCCTCAGACTACGGTCACATAGCCCTAGAGATCATCGAACCCCCAGCCCCCCCGCCTGCCCCATCCCCAGCGCCTTCCCCCTCCCCCGCGCCCTCCCCCGCCCCCGCCTCCGCCCCTTCCCCTTCCCCCCTCGCCCCAGCCTCCTCCCGTCAGCCGTCCCCCACCACAGATGCCCCCTCCCCTGATACAGCCTTCCCGCCAGAACCCTCATACGCACTCCCTCCCCAGTCCCCACCTTTGCTGTCACCCCCGCCACCTGCGAAGCCGAGGGTGAAGCAGGGGCAGAGGCAGCCGACCATGTTTGACAACTGCATGCAGCTGAGCCACCGTTATAGGGTGCGGTGGACGCTGGACGAGGCGAGGGGGTTCGTTGACGTGGGGTTGGAAGCGGTTGTGGGGAGTGGGCCGCATTACCTGGGATTTGGCTGGGCGGACCCCGACAGTGTGACCAAATTTATGGGGTTTGCTGACGTGGTGATTGCAGGGTTCGATGAAGTGGTGAGTAGAAAGGGTGAGGGGAAAAGGGGTAAGGGGAATGGAGGAAGGGAAGAGAGTAGAGGTCTGGGTGTGGAAAGAATGGGAGGTGGTGAGGTGGTGAGCTGGAGTAGCAAGAGATGATTGACTGCGGTTGTAGGGGAGTGAACCGCAGTATATGTGAGCGTGGGACGAGTTTGGGATGGGGCGATTACGAGAGCATGGCCAAGTCTATGGGGTTTGCTGACGTGGTGACTGCGGGATTTGATGAAGTGGTGAGTTCAAAGGGGGAGGGGAGGGGGGAGGGGAGAAAAGTAGAGGAACATGGACCTTCACCTCACCAGGCAAAATTTTTGTGCAAGATGAATACATTTCATGCGAGTGATTTTTGAGAATTCTCAAAAATCACTCGTAAGGGGAATGCAGTCTGGGGGAAAAGGCACCAGAGGGGGCATGCCTCATAACGCATGACCCCTACTTCTCTCTCTCCCCCATCCAACCTCGGGCCCCTTGCACCAGGCGAAACCATTTGTGGAGGATTACTATGTCACATCATACGGGGAATGCAACCTGGAGAAGAAAACGCCAGAGGGCGTGTGCCCCGACCAGCTTCTGGGCGGCGGCAACTCGTCTCTCGACAACGTGGATCTGATCTACGGCCACCGGGTGGACGGCATCACTTTCGTCCGCTTCCGCCGCCCGCTCGTGAGCCCGGACAAAAGATTTGATCACGATATCGACGCAGAGGATGAGATGAACGTGATCTGGGCGCTTGGCTCCTTAAAGCCCATCCCATCCCCCTCCTCATCCTCCTCCTCCTCATCCTCCTCCTCCTCCATCTCTAATCCCTCGGTGGTAGGTGGGGTGGCAGGGGCGGCACGAACGCCCCCCGCCCACCTCTTTCCGTCCTACCATGGGGTCCCACAGGGGTCGTTTTTTGGGGTGGCGGTGTTGACTCTAAGCCTGGCTGTAGATGACTGTCAGAGTGTGTTGAACCCAGCACTTGGTGTGGGAAATGCAGGAGGAGGGGGCGGAGGAGCAGGAGGAGGAGGAGCAGGAGGGGCTGGTGGGAGCGGGGATGGGAACGGGGATGATAATGATGATGATGATGAGGATGGGTTGGGAGGGGTGGTGGGGAGCGGATGGGGGAAAGTCGTCGTCGCAGACCGAGGCACGCTCATTACAGTCACATCGGGAAAAAGCACGCACTACCCCAACCCGCCAGCGTCAACGAAAAGCTTCTATGTGAACGGGCACGAGGCACCGGAGATTAAGGTGGAGAGGGGGGTGCCAGTGCAATTCTCTATACAAGCAGGGCATGATCTGGGGGTGTATATCACATCGGATCCTGTGGGCGGGCGGTTTAACAAGTCGGAGATTATATTCGCGGGCGGCGAGGAGGCGCATGGCGTGCCGGCGGATCCCTACACCCTGCTGTGGAAACCCACTAGTTCTACTCCTGACCTCGTTTACTATCAGGTGGGTGGTGGGATGGTTGAGTGACTAGGTGACCAGTATTGTTGTTGGTGCCGGTGGCGGATCCGTACACCCTGCTGTGGAAACCAACAGGTTTCACAGCAGACCTTGTTTACTACCACGTGGGTGGGTGGGTTGACTAGTCAACTCAAAAGTCAACTCCGTACACCCTGCTGTGGAAACCAACAGGTTTCACAGCAGACCTTGTTTACTACCTCGTGGGTGGGTGGGTTGACTTTTGAGTCGACTCAAAAGTCAACTCCGTACACCCTGCTGTGGAAACCAACAGGTTTCACAGCAGACCTTGTTTACTACCACGTGGGTGGGTGGGTTGACTTTTGAGTCGACTCAAAAGTCAACTCCGTACACCCTGCTGTGGAAACCAACAGGTTTCACAGCAGACCTTGTTTACTACCACGTGGGTGGGTGGGTGGTTGATTGGGTGACTGGTTATGGCGGCACACATGTTGGAGCTGGCACGCCCATGCACGCACAGCACACTCTGCTGTGGAATCCAACTAGTTCCACTCCAAATGGGTGACTGGATGACTGGTAGTGGCGAGACTTCTAGTATCGATACAATGTGGATAGGGGAGTGTTAACATCCCCTCTCTCATTCTGCCCTTCTTCCCACCCCCCTACCCTCCCTCGCTTTTTCCAGTGCTATTCGGAGCCTAAGATGGGGTGTCGCATTCACGTAGTGGACGGCGGCCTATCGGACATGTACAACCACAGCTTCCACCCCCCTCCATTCTCCTCCCATCCCCTTTCAACCTCCACTCTCCAACTCGTTCTAGACTCTCGATCATCCTCTTTCCCTTCAATCCCCCCCCCCTCTGCCCTTCACTTTCCACCCTTCACTGTCCGCCCTGCACTGCTGAACCACAGTGCTACTCGGAGCCTAAGATGGGGTGGCGAATCCACGTGGTGGACGGGGGCCTCTCAGACATGTACAACCACAGCTTCCAGCTGGCAGACGGGCTCGTCACCATGTTCTGGACGCTCACTGCCTCTTCCATATCCGTGGCGGTCAGGGGCGAGCACCCTTCGGGTTACATCGCCATAGCCTTTGGCAGGTAAGTCGAGAGCTGATCCCTTGGGGTACCTTCCAGCTGGCAGACGGGCTCGTCACCATGTTCTGGACGCTCACTGCCTCCTCGATATTCGTGGCGGTCAGGGGGGAACACCCCTCGGGTTACATCGCCATAGCCTTTGGGAGGTAAGCAAGGGGTTGTTTCAAGAGTTAGGTTGAAGGGGGATGAGGGATGACCCAGACTCATCATGGCATTTCCGTCATTGCACTCGAATCACTCAATTCTCCGCCTTTTCGTTACTCTTCACATACACCCAGTGGCATGGTGAACGCGTGGGTATTAGTGGAGTGGGTGGAGGACGGAAAGAGGCGAACAGTCTCATCTCATTGCCTTCCTTCCACTTGAATCCCTCAATCTCCTCAATACTCCTCTCCGTCCTCCCTCCCCCTTCCTGTGGCATGGTGAACTCATGAGAGTTTGTGGGTGGGGTGGGTGGAAAGGGGCGAGGGGCGAACAGACGTAAACCACTTTGTCCCCTCAATTCCGTCAATTCTCTCTTCTGATTCTGCTCCCTCCTCCTCCACCCTTCCCTTTCTAGTGGCATGGTGAATTCGTGGGCGTATGTGGGATGGGTGGAGGGCGGGGAGGGCCGGGTGGCGTCCTACTGGATTGATGGCAAGGATGCCAGCAGCGTGCATGCTGCTCGGGAGGCGCTCGACATGAGCAAGTGCATGCAGGTGCGTGTGGGGATGTGTGTGTTGTGGGTGGGGGGTTGTTTCATGTGCCGCACTGGGTGGAGGGTGGAGAGGGGCGGGTGGGTGGCGTCTTACTGGATAAAGTGATGGCAAGGACGCCAGCAGCGTGCATGCATGCCACCAGTGTATGCTTTTTGAGAATTGTCAAGGTGATTTTTGAGTCGACTCAAAAAACATACGATGGCAAGGACGCCAGCAGCATGCATGCCGCCAGGGAGGCGCTCGACATGAGCAAGTGCATGCAGGTGGGTGATTTAGATGGCAGGGTGCATGCAGATGGGGCATGAGTTGGGGTGGAAAGGGGATTGGGGCAGGTGGCATCATACTGGATTGATGTCAAGGACGCCAGTAGCGTGCATGCTGCTAAGGAGGCACTCGACATGTCCAAGTGCATGCAGGTGGGTGAGGGAGGGGGATGGGAAGGGCGAGGGCCGGATGGCGTCCTACTGGATCGACGGCAAGGACGCCAGCAGCGTGGAGTGCATGCCACCAGGGAGGCGCTCGACATGAGCAAGTGCATGCAGGTGCGGCATTAAGAGGCAGGTTTGTTACATGTGGTGCATGTGCGGGCAGGGATGTTTGCATGCAGTGCAGGCAGGTGCATGTTGGGGTCCTGGATTGATGGCAAAGATGCCACCCGCGTGCATGCCACCAGGGAGGCTCTTGACATGAGCAAGTACATGCAGGTGCGGCATGGGGGAGGGGAAGGGGGAGGGGAGGGGGGATGGGGGGCATGCAGTGCAGTGCAGTGCAGTGCAGTGCAGTGCAGGCCTGCTTGCTTCCTTGCTTTCTTGAATCCATCCCTGTGTGTGTGTGTGTGCGTGTGCATACATGCTCCCCTCCTCCCCATCCACATCCCCACCAGTCTGTGTGTGCATTTCCCTCCTCAACCACATCCCCTTGTCTGCATGTGTGAACAGGTGGATGGGGTACTGACGTTTGAGTTCAGCCGCCCGCTGAAGCCACCCGATTCGGACTGCGACGACAAGTGCAGCGTCATCGACCCCTCAGAGCCCCTCAAAGTCATTTGGGCGTACGGGCCCTCCTGGACCTCAGGTAAGCCTGCTGCGACTGCTAGCAAGTCTCTCTTTACAGTGGATGGATGAGACTCCCAATGATGAAGTATTGAGTTGAATCTCCCTTATGCCAGCTCCCTCATCCCTGTGCCCTGTGCTCATACCTCTTTCCTCACCCCTCCCCCCGGCAAGCTGTCCTACATGAACATGCACACGGTGTGGAGCACCACCACCGTCACCATCCTAGTAGACCTCGAGCGCATGATGTGTGCTGCACAGCCTTGTGGCGCATTCTGCTCGGTCATACTCCCATCCCCTCTCCCCCCACCCTCTCCACCACCAGGCAAGCTGTCATACATGAACATGCACACGGTGTGGAGCACCACCGTCACCATCCTAGTAGACCCTCGAGCCAGGCAATGCCTTGTGCCTCACTCCTCCTCCTCCCTCCCCTATCCCCCGTCCCCTTTCCACTTCCCCATTCCCCTCCCTCACACCCCAGGCAAGCTGTCCTACATGAACATGCACACGGTATGGAGCACCACCGTCACCATCCTGGACTTGGAAACTGGCGAGGGAACGGTGGAGCATCTGCAGCCGGTGTTTGTGGTGCATGGCTTCATGATGACCATGGCTTGGGCTGTTCTCATGCCCTTTGGTGTGCTGGCTGCGAGATACCTCAAGCACAACGACTGGCTTTCGTAAGTGCTTGCTTCCTGAAGGCTCTAGGGCTGTTTTTTGCATCGCCAGCAGTCAAAGAGACGCTTGGCCGTGCTGTCAGCAGTCAAGGGGGTGGGAGAGGGCATGATGGAGCATCTGCAGCCGGTGGGTGTTTGTGGTGCATGGCTTCATGATGACCATGGCTTGGGCTGTTCTCATTCCGTTCGGGGTGCTGGCAGCGAGTCAGTGCCCTGTCCTCGCCCTCGTGCTTTTATGCTGCCCCTCACTCAGTTGCTCCCCGCTCAAGCAACTTCTCTGGTTTCCGTCCTTCCCTGTTCTCTTTCACCCTCACCCACCCCTCCCCCCAACAGCATCCACCAGTACACGCAGTACTCCACCCTCGCTCTCATGCTCCTCGGCTGTCTCTCACTCTGTCTCTTCCCACCTTCCCCTCCCCTCCCCTCCCCTCCCCTCCCCTCCCCTCCCCTCCCCTTCCCCCTCCCCTCCCACCCCTCCCACCAACAGCATCCACCAGTACACGCAGTACTCCGCCCTTGCGCTCATGCTGCTCGGGCTGCTCTTCGCCGTCGGTGAACTGGGCGGGTGCGTCCTTATCCCTTGCCTCCTCCCACCCGCCCTCGTTGCTCTTATCCCTTGCCTCCTCCCACCCGCCCTCGTTGCTCTTATCCCTTGCCTCCTCCCACCCGCCCTCGTTGCTCTTATCCCTTGCTCTTGCCATATATCCCGTCACACTCATATCCCATGCTTGTCTTAACCCTTCATCCTCCTACCCCTCTTGTCGCTCAACCTTCTTCATTCTCTAGCATCTCACGCCCATCGCCCTCTTTGATTCGCGTGCCTCTCACGCTCATGCCTCTTTGATCCTCCTACCCCTCTACTTCTTGTCGCTCAACCTTCTTGATTCTCTAGCATCTCACGCCCTCGCCCTCTTTGATTCGCGTGCCTCTCAGTATGCCACATTCACTGTCTGCTTCCCGTCTCATCAGCCCCCATCCTCCAATTGCTACCTCATGTTACTCTCTCGTCTTCCCATTCCCCCACCTCCACCTTCATCCCACCTCCTGCTACTCTTCCCCTCCTTCCCGCTTCCCACTTCTCTCCTACTCGCCGTGTCCCGCAGCATTGACCTATCATCCAATCATGCCAAGATAGGAATGGCAACGTTCCTATTTGGATGCTTCTTTCTCGTCCCCAAATCCCCCCTCTTCGCCCCCCTCTCTCCCACTCACCCTCGCAGCATCGACCTATCATCCAATCATGCCAAGATAGGAATGGCAACGTTTGCCCTGGGGTGCTTCCAGCCAATCAATGCCTTCTTCCGCCCGCCCAAACCGTCGCCTGGGGAGAGGCCTCAGATGAAACGGGTCATCTGGCAGTGGGTACACCTGTGAGTGCGTTTCATCTGGCATCCTGTGTATAGAAGAGACCATGTAACCTAGTGTATGCATACGCACATGAGAGGCATGTTACGTGCACCTGATACGAAAAATGCCACTCCTCACAGACACGTCACCTGCTGTCTGTTTAACCGGGGAGCGGTGGTGGTTGGGGGAGCAGCGCTGTTGACAGGGATAATGGAGTTGGGGGAGACAGGGGGAGTTGACTGCACAGTGGACGGACTCCTGTGGGCCCCACACACATTGGGCAATAGGCACTCTTCATGCCTCTCTGCCTTTCCTGTTTTACACGCAGACTATTCGGCCGCGGAGCCCTCTTGGTGGGGGGAGCGGCGCTGCTGACGGGGATAATGGAGCTGGGGGAGACGGGGGGGGATGACTACACGGTGGACGGGTTCCTGTGGGCCATGGTGGGGTGGTTCGCCACCATCGCTGCCTTTGTTTGGTTCGTGGAGCGCACGAGAAGGCAGGACCAGTGAGTGCGGGGGCGAGTGGCAGGCTGTAATGCACTGAGTGCCAGGTGGGGTTCCTGTGGGCCATGGTGGGGTGGTTTGCCACCATCGCTGCCTTTGTGTGGTTCGTGGAGCGCACGAGACGGCAGGACCAGTGAGTGCTTGGGAGGGAGGGGGCTGTGAGTGCTGCGGGGGATGAGATAAGAGGAGCAATAAGGCCCACGGTGGGGTGGTTTGCCACCATCGCTGCCTTTGTGTGGTTCGTGGAGCGCACGAGACGGCAGGACCAGTGAGTGCTTGGGAGGGAGGGGGCTGTGAGTGCTGCGGGGGATGAGATAAGAGGAGCAATAAGGCCCACGGTGGGGTGGTTTGCCACCATCGCTGCCTTTGTGTGGTTCGTGGAGCGCACGAGACGGCAGGACCAGTGAGTGCTTGGGAGGGAGGGGGCTGTGAGTGCTGCGGGGGATGAGATAAGAGGAGCAATAAGGCCCACGGTGGGGTGGTTTGCCACCATCGCTGCCTTTGTGTGGTTCGTGGAGCGCACGAGACGGCAGGACCAGTGAGTGCTTGGGAGAGAGGGGGCTGTGAGTGCTGCGGGGGATGAGATAAGAGGAGCAATAAGGCCCACGGTGGGGTGGTTTGCCACCATCGCTGCCTTTGTGTGGTTCGTGGAGCGCACAAGACGGCAGGACCAGTGAGTGCTTGGGAGGGAGGGGGCTGTGAGTGCTGCGGGGGATGAGATAAGAGGAGCAATAAGGCCCACGGTGGGGTGGTTTGCCACCATCGCTGCCTTTGTGTGGTTCGTCGAACGCACGAGACGGCAAGACCAGTGAGTGCTTGTGGGGGTGCTGTGAGTGCTGGGAGGATGATACGGCAGGAGCAGTGAGTGGCAGGAGCCGTAACGCTGAATCTGCTTGTCGTGATCGCCCGCTCCTCCTGCTCTTCACTTGTCACATTCCAGTGTCCGTGGACAGGTGCAAGCAAGAGCAAACAAGTGTCTGCTCCTCTGCTGCTCGCCGCACAACCCTCTCTCACTCTTTGCACAGTTCAAGGCTGCAAAACCTCGCCAGTATGATTCGGTGCAAAACCTTATGATGATACTATACCAAGATGGCTATCACCCGTCTCTCCTCTCCTGTCTTCTATGAACCTGCCTCACGTGAACCCGTTCCTTGGGCACCTCCCTCACTCCTTGCAGTGCAACACCCCAGGAGCTAGCCAACATGATTCGGCACGACTGGAACGGGTCGTCACCAGCATCGTCTGACATGCATGTGACCCAGCTAGACAGCGAGGATAGCGAAGACGACACGCGCACCCTCATCCCCTCCACCCTCCGCTCCTCCTCCCACTCCTCTTCCACCTCCTCTCCCGCACCTGCCCGACATGGCCAGTCTGCGTCCCCTGCCCAGGGTAATTTGTCTGGTTCGCTTGCCCGGCTGGGCCCTACATCTTCTTCACCTGCCCGGATGGGGAATTCTGGGTCGCCTGCTCATGGCTTGCCTGTGATTCGGGAGGGTCGGGAGGGCAGGGTTGGCGGGCATGGGGGGGGCTTGGGGAATGGGAGACGGTTTGTGGAGGATCATGATGGGGCGATAGAAATGGGGACCATCAAGGGTTGAGAACACTCTTGGGAGGTATTTCTCGCCTTGTGTAAGTTCTAAATGGTATTTCCCCCAAATGTTAGCTCGAGTCTTTCTTTGCATTGATGCCCCTGAAGCCCATTGCTTGGGGCGCTACAAGAGTACCACGTAGTAGTTTGTGCAATTACACTGGAGCCATGATCTGAACTTGCACCACCAACACTTCTACCATGATCAGTAGTACCTACGACAGTAGTGAACAACACAGAGAAAGCACACTGTACACTAGAACAAAGCAAGAATATCACAGCCAACCATTTTCAACTTCTGTTTCTAGTGCACTAGTTGCTGGTGGTGCTGCAGAATCAGCAGCACCAGCTGCACCACCCTGTACCTCACCATCCTCTCCCTCACAATCCCCTCTCCCTACTTCTCCACCCCTCTCCTCCATGCCGGAATCCCTTCCTTTCATCTCCGCAATCTCCGCCTGGAGCAACGCGATCTTCTCTCGAAGACTCTGAACAACCACTTGATTCTCCATAAGCGCTTCCCGGTACACGGGATCCGGCTCCGCGACGTCCGCGGCTTGGAGCTCCTCGTTGGAACGTATAAGATGCCGAACTGCGTTCTGCAGCCGCTTTTCCTCCAATTCTAAAAGCTCCAGTCGCTGCTGCTGGTCCTGGGTTAGTTGTGCCATCGGCAAGAGAGGATTTGAGGACTGGTTCAGAGGAGGGCTGGGAGAGGTTCGGGATTGAGGAAGGGAGGAAGAGGATGGAGCGTGCAGGTCTGGTTGCTCGTGTGCGTGCTGGGCTGGTTGCTGATGTTGTGCAGATGAATTGCTCTGATGAAGATTGCCGCGATCCTGGTGATGGGTGGATGAGCGAGGTCCGCCGGTCTGCGAAGCGTCTCTGTCGATGTCCATGTCTGAGGTCGAACGTAAATCCATATTTTTAGCGAGAGATTCGGTGGGAGGGGCGAGTAGAGGACCGAATTTGTGGGAAAATCACGAAGAACGCACACAGCCGTTGAGATGGTGGTGGCGAGGTGAGGTGAGATTCGCTCCTAGGAAGGCACACTCTAGCAAATACGAAAGTAATCAATACACAACGAGTGTAGTAGATTGTTCGTTTGAAGTCTGCATAGGGAGAAATGCATATATCGAGACATGGGAAGTGGTATGGGTTCATTTGAACCTTGCATTTCTGCCGCCGAGTCACCTAGTTCCACGTGGGCAAGAAAGTTCCAAAGCTGTTTCCTCAAAGCTCGGGCACGTCATCAACAAATCCCAACACGAGTGCCTGAAAATCAACCTTCGTCAGCTTTCCTGCAGCATATCTGACCTAGCTGGACCGGTCCACCAATCACCGCCTTCAGCCTTCGCGTGCGCAGACGCAAAAGATGCCCTTTCCGAAGCGGTGTGAAAGTAGGTGCCACGTAGGTTTGTGGCTGGCAGAACCCAAGGTTCCTGCGCAACTCATCCATCCCATCCCATTCCGCTTGCCGCTGCCACGGATGAGAGAATTTGTCCTGCGAAACTCGTTTTCTGCTCTCGGTCTCCTCTCGAGTCTCATCTCTTGCTTTGCATCTGGACTGGGAAATTCAGACTGTGAGTGGACGTCGCCATTGTGACTGCTCGCTCGCACCATCCAGATTAGCATAAACGTCGCCCTTTCTTCCCTTTCCTTGCCTGTTATTTTCTCTCTTTTGTACTCTCCCTCGTCCATCGTTAGTCTCGTCAGTTTGCAATGGCGACCATTGTAAAGCACGCGTCTCGCGCAAATCTTGGACGGCCGTCGTCCAGCCGAGCGCGCCTCGGCGAATCTGGTAGCTCCTGTCAAGCCAGCCCCTTTAACGCACGCGGGGCAAGGACTCTTACCGACACCACCGCCGTAAGATTCGTTCAAGAATCGCTTCAAGTTCGCCAGACCGCGACAATCCGAAGGACAGCAGTCGGATCGGCTCGAGCCTCGGCGGTAACCAGTGCTGACGTGGAGGAATGGAGCAAGGCGGCGCGGCTGGTCCGGCAAGAGCAGCTGGAGGGTCAAGCTTTGGATGCGCTTCAGAAGACCATCGATTCATTCGAGCGCCCAACGTTTCCATGCGCGCTTATCGCGGGCGACGTGGTAAGCACCTCACTATCATCACAATTTTAATCAAATCAAAAAATTATGAATGAAGCATACCAGGAGCTTCGTCCAATGCGTCAGCGCTGATTCGCCTATCGAGCACATGGTGCCCTATCGTTTTTCTTCATTTTTCCCATCCTAATGTGGCCTCTCATTCCATCCATCGATTTGTCCTCGTTTTAATGTTCCTCGTTGGCAGGTTATCCTCCACCTGCTGCACCGGCTCGGCGCGCTGGGCGACAATCCCAAGGTGAAGGTCGTGTTCATCGACACCTTCCACCTCTTCCCGGAGACGTACCAGTTCCTCAAGGACTGCGAGGTACGTTGCGGTGCAGTGTGACTGCGAGCGGTGTACCTCGGGGCAGAATGAATTGAGCGTAGCGTATGAGTCCTACCAGAACTCTGAACAAAGAGACGCCATGCACAATTTCAATCCCAAAGACCTACCAGTTCATGAATGGCTGCGTGGTACGTAACGCAATGCCTTCTATGAAGCAATGGCGAAAGTGTGAGTGTCTGGACGAACACCGTGCTGAGGAGTGAGGAGCCTTGAGGAACTCATGCGGGTCAACGTTCAGCCCGCCTCGCAACCCATCACAATCTCTCGGAGCTCCATGAGCCTTTTAAAGCTTTTTTTTTCTTACTAATAAGCCAATTGCCCTCTCCTTAAAGTTTATTCTCATAGGACGAATTGTTTCGACCAGCATGCGTTGCTGACCGAGCATCCTGTCCTGTTTTCTCTTGTTCGTCGCGGCGCAGGAGCGTTTTGGGTTCAAGGCGGAGGTGTTTCAAGCTGCGGGGCTTAACTCCAAGGAGGACTACGTCAAGAAACATGGCTCCGACCTCTTCATCCGGGTAAGCTGCAAACCGCCTCCATAGTTCTACACGTTATCTCGCATTCGTCATCCCTGAAACGAACCCCTCCAACCCATTGCGCACCCTCCTATTTCTCTTCTCCCCTACCCCATGCCTATCATGGTAAAGCACATTGGTAATATCACCCCTTTCCTCGATACTCCCATTTCCCCAATGCCTTCCTGCACCCCACCACCTGTCCACTCCCCTTTCCCCACCATCGTCCACCTGCCAGAACATAGACGAGTACGACCAGATCTGCAAGGTGTAGCCCTTCAGCCGTGCCGTGCTTACCTCCCCCACTTCCTCGCTCCCTCATCCCCCCACCTATCCACCTCATCCCCCCCCCCTATCCGCCTCATCCCCCCACCATCGTCCACCTGCCAGGACATAGACGAGTACGACCAGATCTGCAAGGTGGAGCCGTTCAGCCGCGCGCTGACGTCGCTCAACGTGGACGCTATGATCAACGGGCGCCGCAGAGACCATGGCGCTGAGAGGGCGCACCTGGAGGTGAGTCAGCTGTTTTTCGTTACATCTGGAGGTTAGTGAGAGGGTGCACCTGGCTGTAGCGCTGACGTCGCTCAACGTGGATGCCATGATCAACGGGCGCCGCAGAGACCGCGGCGCGGAGAGGGCTCACCTGGAGGTGAGCTTGCCTCCACCCTTTCCACGGTTGTTTTATGTTTGAGGTCGCACCTGGCAGTGATTTCTGTATTGCCACATGCAAGCAAGGTACGGGATGTCACATGCAAGGTACCGGATGTCACATGCCACACGCACGCCACATACCATATACCGTGTGGCATGCCACATGTTGCATGGTGCCATGACATACCATATGCATCATCCCATGTCACATGGAATGCCATGATCCATGCGGCGAAGGCCCATCATTTTCATGCCATGCCACCCTTCCTTTGCCTCTCCCCTTCCTTCACTGCCACATCTCACCGTACATCATCCCACCACTCAGCTATTTGAAGACGGCACACCAGTGAAGGTGCAGCCCCTCGCATACTGGGAATTCAGGTATGCTAGCTACTATGGGAGTTGCCGATGCTGTAATGTGATGCTGTGGGGTCATGGTCCCTCGGTTCCTGATGGTATGCCTGCTGTGAGGGGTGCTTGATGCTGTGATGTGATGGTATGGGCTGGCCGTGATGGGTTGCTAATGCTACAGGAATGCCATCCCCCTCCTTGCATGCCGACATCCCCACCCACCATTGACATGCACGCCATTCTGCCAGTCCTCCAATCCTCCTTCCAAAACCTCAACCCCACTCCTCTATGGCCCCCGCCTTGCCCCGCACACCACCAGGGACTGCTTCGACTACCTGGAGAGGCATGGGGTGCCAGCCCACCCTCTTCACGCCGACGGCTTCCGCTCCATTGGAGACATACAGACCAGACCACCCTACTAAACCACTCTTTCGTCCCCCACCCCTCTCCCCCACCAGGGACTGCTTTGATTACCTGGAGAGGCATGGGGTGCCAGCCCACCCTCTTCACGCGGATGGCTTCCCCTCCATTGGTGACATCCAGACCACCCTGCCCGTTCCGCGTGCCAAGTGGTTCGAGTACGGTGGAGAGCGGTCGGGGCGGTTCCAGGGGCTGAAGAACAGAGACGGGTCGGACAAGACAGAGTGTGGCATTCACGTGGAGGATGCTGTGGCCTCATCCCTCACTCCGCCTTCCTCCTCCCTCACACCACCTTCCTCCTCACTCACTCCTCCTTCCTCCTCACTCACTCCTCCTTCCTCCTCACTCACCCCGCCTTCCTCCTCCCTCACCCCCCCATGAATTTCCAGCCCGCCCTGCACTTGGTTTGCTGATTCATATGTCAATGCTGGATAGGATTGGATAGGGCGTGTCGTGTTTAGGGGGAGTTCATTTCAGCAAGAGGCATGATGGCTTGTTGATGATTTGTCTAGGTCCTGACATTTCATGACCCAAGGGCTCTGACAAAGAGTTGATGAGCAAAGATTGTACACCTACAATGGTTATATCTGCTGTAATGCTTTTTGAGACAAGAAAATAATGAAATTTGAATTTGCCACACAAATGGTTGAATCTACTGTACTAGGTTTTTGGTAACATTGCTATGCTAAGTTCTAACTGTGGGACTGCAGGAAGAAACAACACAAGACAAACTCCTGATCCAGACAAGAATGGTAAAATGTTGTTTGTAAGCATCTTATCAATGCCTTGTACTGTGCATATGATGCATTATGCGGGTGCATACCAATGCATAATGTGCAAATCATGACACATGATGTATGATGCGCAATGCATGACGCTCAGTGCACGATGTATGACACTCAGTGCATGATGCATGATGTATGATGCATGCCGCATGTTCAGCATCAGGCAACAGTGAGGGCGGCAAGCATAGCAAGCATGGCAGCATGCATGGCCATCCAGTAGAGCACGAGCAGCAGCCTCATCATGGGTCGTGCCATGAGTGACTGCCCTCCCGCCACACTGGTGCAAGAGGGGGGGTGGGTGGGGAGGAAGGAGAGCAAGACGAATGGGGAGGAAGAAAAAGAGATAAGAAGAAAGGTAGAAAGTGAAGCGAAAGAGTTGGGGTGGCAACAGGAGGGCAGCAGAAGGGAAGACGGCAGGAATCTCGGGGACGTGAATGCAACGCAGCATGCATGGCCATCCAGTAGAGCACGAGCAGCGGCGCATAATGGGCCGAGCCATCAGCGACTGCCCTCCCACCACACTGGGAAATGGAAAGAGTGGGGGGAGAGATGAAGACCAATGGAGTGGGAGATCTCAACTGTCTCCCAATGGAATGAAAGAAAGAAGCCAGTTGAGTGACGAGTGGAAGACGCAACAGGAGGCAGGAGCAGATGCAGCATTGAAGGCTGGAAGGAGCAGCAGGCACGTACCATAGGCGGTCGATGCCCTTGGCGGCTGGGTGCAGGAAGGACGGCAGGAAACGGAAGGCACTGACTATTGACTTGAACCCGTGCACTGTGGTGGGGGTGAGCGGGGAGGAGTGGGAAACATTTCGAAGTGAATGGAAGAGAGGCAGAGAGGCAGGTTCACCAGAGACGATGGGTTAGTCAATGAGTCAGCCATTGCAGGTACTGCAGGCATTGCAGGCATAGTGAAGAGATTATAGGGACAGATGAGCCTTCGTTGCAAACCCCCAAGCACATGCCTCTTGTCGTGCCAACTGTTGTTTCCCACTTTCCCACCTTCATCATCGGGGTACGAGTCAGAGATCTGCAGCGCCGTGTGGCCCGCCAGCGAGGCGGATGATGACGTTGCGAGCTGCTGCGCCAGCAGTGGCAGGTACTCTGCTGACGTGTCGGATGCACCTCCCCCGGGTGCTGCCTTCCTCTGCGTGGTGACTGGCAGGAGAGTGGAGGCTGATGCTGAGGCTAATTGTGAGGAAGAGGAGGAAGAGGGCAGAGGTGACTGGACTGCCTTGCGCTTCTGATGAGGGACAGGAGACGGGGTTGCATGGAAACACAGCGGAAAACAAGTTACAAGTAAAAGTTGAATTCACTTGTGGAGACTGGTACGAGAAGGTAGTAGTAGTAGTAGGAGGAGGAGGAGGAGGAGGAGGAGGAGGAGGGAGGAGGAGGAGGAGGAGGAGGAGGAGGAGGAGGAGGAGGAGGAGGAGGAGGAGGAGGAGGAGGAGGAGGAGGAGGAGGAGGAGGAGGAGGAGGAGGAGGAGGAGGAGGAGGGTAGTGGTGAGGTGCCTGCCTTGTGCCTCTCATAAGGAATGGAGAAGGGGGTACAACGAAAGACTAGTAACACAAGAAGCAGCATTCATGTGCTCTCACCAGGTCATCTGCCTCCCTTCTTGCTGCCTCCAGTTGCCCCTCAAGCACCTTCACCGCCTCGCCCGCTGCTGCCACCTCATCGCGCAGCCTTGCCAGCTCAGCATCCTTCTCTGCCACGTCAGGAAGAGCAGCACCGCCTGCCTCAGACTTCTGCTGTTGTGGCGCCAAAGTGCCAGCTGCTGCACCACCAGCCATGCTTTCCCCCTCACCACCTTTCGTAACATCACTGCTAACGCCATTACCAGCACCAGCAACAGCACCAGTAGCAGCAGCACCACCATCAACTATCAGATCACCAGAGAAACCAGAAACAGCAGCGGTCAGGGCAGCAGTAGGGGCAGGAGCAGGAGCAGGAGCAGGAGCAGGAGCAGGAGCAGGAGCAGGAGCAGGAGCAGGAGCAGGAGCAGGAGCAGGAGCAGGAGCAGGAGCAGGAGCAGGAGCACTGCCACCGGCCATCCCTCCCAACTGAGCCTCAGCCAATCTTAGACGGTCCCACACCCCCTGCAGCTCCTTATCCTTCTCTCTCAGCCGCTCCTCCATCTCCCGGTCCTTCTCCTCCAGTCTCATCTCTGCCTCCTGCACCACTGCCTCCGACTGTGCTCATGGGACAGGGATGGGGTGAGGATGAACAGAAGAACAGCGACAGGACAGACAAAGAGGGAAAGGCTATAAGACGGACATTCAGCCTCTCTTCAATCTCCCGGTCCTTCTCCTCCAGTCTCATCTCTGCTTCCTGCACCACTGCCTCTGACTGTGCTTACGGGAAAGGGATGGGGTGAAAAGGAATGGATAATTAGGGATACGGGCAGGGAGGGTAGGGAGGGACAGAAATTCAGGGATAAGGCCACAGGCAATGAAATGGGTAATTATTCTCATTGCCCTTCTTAGGTTTAAGTAATAACCACAGTACTTATAAGCTGGAAAGAAAAACCTGCACCATTGGCTCCCGTGGGTCAACAGAACCTGTATTTCCTATCCCTCTCTACAACGTGCCCAAAAATAAATGAACACCACCAAGTTGGAGCAACCCAATTGCGTATAACCCACCTGTGCTTGCACCTCCTTGAGCTTATCAACCATCATCTTCAGCTTCTCCACTGCCTTGCTGCGTGCCGCCGCCACCGACGCCACTGCTGCCTCCTTCTCCCCCACCTCCCGCCTCAGCCTCTCTACCTCCCCATCCCTCTCCCCAACCTCGCTCTTCAACTTCGCAATCTCCCGTTCCTTCTCCCCAACTTGCTCTCTCAACTCCCCCATCATCGATTCCCTCTCCCCCACCTCCTGCCTCAGCCTCTCAAGGTCCCCATCCCTCTCCCCAACCTGCACTCTCAACTCCTCAATTATCAACTCCTTTTCTCGCACCTCCTTCACCAGTCTCTCCACCTCTCCTTCCTTCTCTTGCAAGGCTCGCTCCAATTCATTTACTCTCCACTCCTTCTCACCCTTAGCCACTTCATCCCTACTCACCTCCTCCCTCTCCTCCCTCTCCTCCCTCTCCCCCCTCTCCCCCCTCTCCCTCCACTCCCCCCTCTCCCTTCTCTCCCCCCTCTCCCCCCTCTCCCCCCTCTCCCCCCTCTCCCTTCTCATCTCTTCCATCTCGCCCCTCAAGACCTCAACCACTCTTTCCAGCTCACCTACCCTCCTCCCCCTCTCCTCACCTTCCTCCCTCGCACTCTCCGCTCTCCTCCTCTCTTCTTCCAATTCACCTCGCAACCGCTCTTCCTCCATCTGAGCACCCTCCTTCTCTGCTTCCAAACGAGAAACTTCCGCCATTAAACCAGTCCTTTCCCCTTCTAATCGCCCTTTTTCCCCTTCCAAACACTCCACTGCTTCCTGCAAGTCCCCCTTCTCTCCCTCCAGCCGACCAACAGCTGCCTGCAACCCATCCCTCTCTGCCTCCACCTCCTGAATCCGACCTCTCAGCACCGCAACCAGCTCCTCCAAACCCCGCTTCTCATCCTGCACCTGCCGCTCTGCTGCTACAAGAGCATCTCTTTCAACTGCCCACGCATCCCTCTGTGCTTCAAGCTCCAAGAGGGAAGTCCTCAGTTGGGATGCTTGGTCCCTTTGCTCTTTAGCCTCGTTACAAGCTCGTTCGTTATCTGCTCCAAGCTGTTCCTTTGTGACATTCCATTCCTCCCTTTCCTTTTCTAATTGCAACTGCAGCTCTGCTAATTCACCCTCCAATTTTGCCACTTTCACTTCCAGCTCCTTGGCTCTCTCTCGCTCCTCCCTCACTCTCTCTCCCTCCCTCCCTCACTCTCTCTCCCTCCTCCCTCACTCTCTCCACCTCCTCCCTCACTCTCTCCTCTTTCTCCCTCAGTCTTTCCTCCTGCAATCTCACTCTCTCCCCCTCCTCCTTCACTCTCTTCTCCTCCTCCCTCACTCTCTCCTCCAGCTCCCTCACTCTCTCTCTCACAGCCACTGCATCAGCATCCTCCCCACTGCTTCCTGCTTCACCTTCATCCTTCCTCTCCTCATCACGACCAGCCGTTGCCAGCTCAGCACGGACACGTGCCAGCTCATCACGAGCACTTGCCAGCTCAGAACGTACACTATCCAGCTCAGCTTCTGCCACTCTCCTCGCCTCCCTCTCCTCATCCAACCCACCCTGCACTCCCACTAGATTCCTATCCGCTTCCTCTCTCCTCTCCCTCTCCTGCTCCAACTCCCTAGCCAAACCTGCCTTCTCATCCTCTAGTACACAAACTCTCTCTTCCCTCGCGCTTCTCTCAGTCTCCAGCTCTCGTATTCTCTCCTCTGCTACTTCCTTCTCGCCCTGTATCGCCACCAACCGCTCTTCAACCGTTGCAAGCTGGGACTGAACCTCCTTCAACTGCCCCTCTACCGCTCTCAACCACTCCTCTTTCTCCATCAACTGTGCCCGTGCGTCTCCAACCTCTTTCTCCCCCTCCCCCTCACTCGTCCTCGCTTTCTCCTCCTGCTCCCTCCTCCTCTCCTCTTCCACTCTCTTCACCTCTTCTTCCTCCCGCCTCCTCCTCTCCTCCTCCAGCTCCCCCTGCAACTCCCTCACTCTCTCCTCAAGTCCCACCAACGCCTTCCCCCTCTCCTCCCTCTCCTCTCTCGCCTCCTCCACTTCCCTCCTCATTCCCTCCACATCCCTGCCCCTCTCCTCAGCCACCCCCCTCCACTCGTTCAGTTCCTCCCTCACTCTCTCTAGCTCCAACCCCAATCCCCTCCCCTCCTCTCCCGACTTCCCCACTTCCTCTTCCAACTCCCTCACTCGCCTCTCCCTCTCCTCCCTCCCCTTCTCCACCTCCGCTTTCTCCCTCTCCAGCTCCTCAACTCTCCGCCTCGCTACAGCAAGATCCGTTTCAACTATAGCCAACATCTCTTCCACCTCCGCTATTTTCCCATTCTTAAACCCCTCCATCTCTTCACTCTCCCTCTTCACCTTCTCCAATCTCTCCTCTGCATCCGCCCTCTCCCTCCCACCCTCCTCCTCCAACCTATCCACTTCCCCCATCAGCCTAGCAACCTCCTCCTGAGCGCTGCTAAGAGACTTTCTTAGCTCAGTAAGTTCGTTACTTAGCTCCTCACACTCCTTCTCTCGCCCCGCAAGAGCATCTGTCACTCCTTCCATCATAGCCACTGTCTCTTTCAGCCTCTCCTCAGCCTTCCTCCTCGCCTCCTCCTCTTTCCTCTTCGCCTCCTCCTCTCTCTGCCTCGCCTCTACCTCTTTCCTCCTCGCCTCTTCTGCCTCAGCCAACAATCCTCTCAGCTCGTCTACCTGCTCCCCTGCTGCTACACCTCCGCCTGCCCCTGCGGCTGCTGCTACAGCTGCCCCTAGCCCTGTTCCTACCCCTGTCCCTGCGCCTGCCCCAGTGCTCGTCCTGAGAGCGTCAATCTCAGCCCTGGCAGCAGCGATGTCTGCTTCGAGCTTCAGCTTCTGCTGCTCGATTGCCTTGCCCTTGCGCACAGCCTTGCTTAGCTTCTCCCTCACCCCCGCCACCTGCTCCTGTGCCTGCTTCAGTGACTCCCTCACCCGCTCCCCCTCTGCTGCTGCCTCTGCTGCTGCCCCTGCTGCCGCCCCTGCTGCTCCTTCTCCCCCTGCTCCTGCCCCGCTCCGCTCCCCTTGCTTCAACTGAGACAGCTCCGTTTCAAGGAGAGAGACCTTGGCACGAAGCCCCTCTATCTCGGCCGCGTCCTCAACATTCGTTGCCTTCGCCTCTGCTCTTATCTCCCCTGCCCCCACCCTCTCCTCCCTCTTCCCCCCCTCCTCGCCCTCTGCCCTCTCCCCCCTCCAGAAGCCGCTTCAGTCGATCAACCTCGGCTCTCGCGTCTGCAGCAGCCTGGGCCTCAACTGCAGCCTTCTGCTTCATGCCTTCGATCCTCTCCTTCGCCTTCTTCACCAGGCTCGCGTTCTTCGCCTCAGCTGCTGCCCTTGCGTCTTCAGCGACCTTCAGCAATGCTCCCTTCTGCTCTACGTCCCTAGTAAGTCGCACTACCTCCTCCTCCATCCGCTCCCTCTCCCCATCAGCTCCTGCACTTGCACTTACCTTTAAAACCTCCTGTTTCAGCCTACTAATCTCCTCGTCACGCCCTTTCAGCTCCTCTTCCAGCCTACTAGCCTGCTCCCTCAACCGGCAGGCCTCCTCTTTCAGCCTAGCGCCCTCCTCTCTCACCCTCTCATTCTCCTCACTCTTCTCCATCAGCTCTCCAAGCAACGAATCCATTTTCTCCAGAGCGGCCCTCCTCTCTTTCTCACTCTCTTCTAGCCTCTTCTCACACTCACTCACCTTTTTCTCTCCCTCCTCCACCTCCTCTCTATACCCCTCCAAAGCAGCCCTAAGCTTCTCCACCTCCTCCTCTGTTCTCACACTGTTCTCCCTCACTCTCTCCATCTCTCCCCCCATCTCCTCCCTAACCCTAACCACCTCCCCCTGAGCTTTCTCGAGCTCCACCCGAGCCTCCTCCAGCTCCCGAACCACCTCCTCAGCCTCGGCCACCCGAGCCTGCAGCTTCTCCAGCTGCGACTCCCGCATTCCCAGAACCTTCCTCAAAGCCGCTGCTTCCGCCTCAGCTTCCTCCTTCACCTTATCCCTCTCTCTCTCCGCCATCTCCCTTGCAGCAGCTGCCTCCACCGCAATAGCATCCTCTGCTGCCTTCGCCTCTGCATCTTGCGACGCACGCCAGATCATCTCTCGCGCCGAGATGTCTGATTTTAGGGATTCAAGCTCTGTCTCGCGCTGCTCTAGGGTTTCTTCCAGCTCCTCTGCTTGCTGTTGCAGGGCGGCCAGTTCAACTTGCTTTGCCTCGAGGGCGGCTTGGGCTGATTGAAGCTGCCTGGTTGCTTCCTCTGCGGCTGTCTCGCTGGCAACTACCTTTGCCTGGGGGGAAGGGAGACGAAAGAGTGCAAGGGACAATCGTCAACAGCTTTGAACGAATGGGGACATGGAGTGCCGAAACAACCGAAAGGTGAGAAAATGCAACGGGGTTACACAGAACAGAGGAACAGTAGAGATGGTTCTACAGTGGATGAGCAGATGAGCAGCAAAATAAGGAAACTGCCACACAAAAGGCTAAGAGCATCCAGCGTGCAGAGGACTCACGAGAGTGACCACGTCCTTCCGCTCTGCTGCCTGCACCTTCTGCTGCAGCTGCTCCACCTCCCCCTCCAGCCCCTGCACCTTACTCTGTAGCTGCCCCTTCTCCTCCTCCACCTCATCCATCTTGCCCTGCACCTGCTTCACTTCCTCCTCTAAACCCTCCACCCTCCTTTCCAGCTGCTCCTTCTCCTCTGTCAGCCCCGCCACTTGCTTCCTCTCCTCCTCCCTCCCCTCCGCCACAGCCTGCAACTCACTCACCATCTCCCCACACCGCCTCTCCTCCTCCTCCAAACTCCCTCTCAACTCCTCCACCTTCCGCCTCTCCGCTGCCACCTCTTCCTGCACCTGCTCCACTTCCTCCTCCAATCCCTCCAACCTCTTCCGAAGCTGCTCTCTCTCCTCTCTCAACCCGGCCACTTTCCTCCTCTCCGCCTCCACCTGTTCCTGTAACTGCCCCTCACTCTCCTCCACCCTACCCTGCTCCTCCTCCCACTTTTCTCTTTCCCCCTGCAGCCTCCCAAGCAAATCTTCTTTCTCCATCGCCCATCCCTTCGCCTTTCTCTCCCACTCACCTCTCTCGGTTGCCCAAGCATCCCTCTCCCTCTCCCACTCTCCCTTCAGCTCCAGAAATTCTCGCCCCTTAGCAACCAAAAGCCCCTCTATCTCAGCCTGCTTCTGCAGCAGCAACGCCTCTTCAGCCTTCCACTCAGCCCTCCATGCCTCAACCTCACTCTCACCACCCCTCCCCTCGCTCACCTCACTCTCTCTCCTCCTGGCTTCCTCCACTTGCAGCAACAGCTCACTCGATCTAGCTTCTTCCTCTTTCCTCCTTCTCTCAGCCTCCTCAACTCTTGCTTCAGCCTCCTTTTTCCGTTCCTCAGCCTCCTTTGCTCTCTCTTCCATCTCACTGAGCTCCTTCTGAAGCCCCTCCCCCTTCTCCCTCACCTCCTGCAACAGCCTCTCACTCTCCTGCAACGCTCTCTCACCCTCCCTCACTCTCTCCTCCACCTCCCCAACCCTCCCTTCCCACTCCTTCTCCCTCCCTCGCATCCCCTCCAGCTCCTGCCGAACCTCTTCCAACCGTGCCTCAGCTTCGGCAGTCAAACCTGCAAACTCCTGCTCCCGACCAGCAAACCTCGCCTGCCAACCCACGACTTCAGCTTTAAGCCCCTCCACTTGCTCCTCCCAGCCCTTAGCCTGTAAATTCATCTCATCCAGCTTCCCTGTAAATCTTCCACTCTTGCTTCCAGCTCCCCCTGCTTCTCCACCACCTCTCCCTTCTCTCCTTCCACCCTCCTCTTAGCCTCTTCCGCCTCTTCCCTCATCGCCCTCTCATCCTCCACAGCACCCACCAGCGCCTCTTTCTGTGCTTGCAACGACTCCAACTCTCGAGTCAGCACACTCTCCCTCTCTCTCGCCCTTTCTCTCGCGTCTGCTTCTGAACCACCTGCCTTCTGCGCCTCCTGAACCTCCCCTCTCAGCGTCCCCACCATTTCCTCCAGCTGTCTCACTCTCTCCCTCTCCCCACTCAGGCTCACCTCTAACCCTGACACCGATCCCTCCTTCTCCTCTACCTCCCCCTTCGCTGCAGCAAGTTCTGTCTGCAAAGCAACCAACTGCCCCTCTGTCTCTGCAACCCTCTCCTGTAACTGATCCACCTCCTTAGACAAACACTCCGCCTTTTTCATAGCATCTTCCGCCTTACTCCTCTCCTCCTCTACCCTACCCTCCCACACCCCCACCTCCCTCTCCACTTCCCTCCTCCCCTCCTCCCTCCCCTCCTCAATCCTCCTCTCCATCTCCTCCGCAACCCTTCTCTCCAGTTCCCTCTCGCGCCTCTCCACCTCCCTCAACTCCTCTCCTCTCCTCGCCAGGAGCGCATCTCTCTCCGCCACCTGCCCTAGAAGCTCCACAGCACGCTCCCTCCCTTCCGCCGCTTGCCTTTTCACCTCAGCTACCTCCTCTTCCGCCACCCGCACCCTCTCTTCCGCCTCCCTCACCCTCTCCTCCATCTCCCTAACCCTCTCCCCGCCTTCCTCCGCCATCCCTGCCGCCCTTCCCCTCAGCTGCAGCAACTGCTGCCTCCAACCTCCTCCACCCTCTTCCTCCCTTCCTCCAATTCACCCTCCAGTTCACCCACCCTCCGTCTCCCCTCCGCCACTTCCCCTTCCTTCACCTCCACAGCCTTCAACGCGTCCCTCCTCCCCTCTCTCTCTCGCTCCAGCTCCTCCCTTAACCGTTCCAGCACAGCAGTCTCCTCCGCCAGAGTCCCTTTCAGCGCCTCCCGCTGCTGCACCACCTCCTTCCCCTTCCTAATCGCCACTCCCAGCTTATCCTTGGTCGCAGCTAGCTTCTCACCTGCACTCGCAGCCTCAAGCCTCGCGCATCCGCCTCTGCCCGGAGCCTCTCTCTCTCCCTCTCCCCCTCCTCCACCCGAGCTAGCAGAACCCTGGATTCCTCCTCCTTGGCTGCTAAGCGGCTGCGGATTCCCGCAGCTGCTGCTGCCACTGCTGCTCGTCGCCCTGCAGCTT